TTGTACCTGATTCTGATAGTCGATACGGTTTAGCGTCTCTTGATCGAGATCCTAAAAATCCGTGGCTTCGAGTAAAATAGAAACTGCCAGCAGTCACTTTTTCAATTAATTCCCAAGAAAAAATGTTTTTAACATGCATTTCCTCCATTCCTGTTAAACACTGATTTAGGTATTAAACTGATACTGGTGTGCACGAAAATAACCCGTCTTGAAACTGCGTAAGAATTCTTAACAGAGCTAAGACCAGTGCTATCCAAAATTCTTTCTTAAGGGAACCAAAGGGTTACCGTCTCAATCATTCTCTCCCTCTAATTTTCCCTTGGAAACAGTAAGATCAACTGGTGAATTGTTTTCAGACAAAAAAATTCCGGAAAACTGTCGCGTGATGCGCTTTTCTGCCTGGAATTGACATGATTAAGAGGAAGATTGAACAAATCAAACAGTGAAAAGTGCTGTAAAAAAGAAATTTTTTTTCTATGAAAAAGAAATTCTCCTTTATAAAGTACGAAGGAAAAAAGTCAAAGTTCCTCCTAACACAAAAAGTAACCGTTCTTGCGCGCTGTAATTCGCCGACGAGACGCTGATTCTCCTTTTTAATTCGTGAAATTTCCTCTTCCAGCAGCGTAATGCGCCGACGAAGGAGATTCAGTTCGGCTTCGATGTTCGCCAGTGTAACCAGAAGCTCATCTATTTTATCACGATCACCAAGACGTGCTTTTGTTGCCTCATGGAACCTACAAGCAATGCCGACTAGCAAAAGCACCATGTAAATTAAACTTGATGGCATAAATAACAAAAAAACGAAATTTAAGTTGAAAAATCATCATCAATGTGCCTCGCAAAAGCAGCTGTAACACGGTAAAAGAAATAGTCTCACGCGGTAAAATATCTTTCACCACGAGCAACATTCGGGACAAAATGGTGCTGCTCAACACAAATCCGTAACATTCACTATGCCTAGCGTCATGCCAACTGAATCTGATCAAGGAACTATTGAACTTGTAATCTTCCCAGAAGATGAAACGAACATAAAACTGGCCAACAGGGGAATGCAGCCCAAAGCAACTGGCAAAGTCTCCAGCCGCACAGCTAGAGAATAAGTCGGTGGTTAACCAAGGTATGAACTGCCCCAAATTCACGGTAAAAAAAACTTGCCAGTCATCCCATTCACCGTCACCGTCCTGAAGAAAACCTTCATAGCTATCATCCAAACGAACTTTTCTGCGATCCATTGGGATAAAGCCACTAACAGCTTTTAGCAATACTTTGCTGGTCATGTGTGTTTGCTATAAAACTACTTAAGCTAAACAATTTCATGCTTCATTTGAGGAGACTGCACAACAACAATTATCTTTCTCTGTCTGCTACCTCACTTTCTCTCCGAATCACCTCCTTCACCAGTAGTATTCCGGGA